TCAACGGCGGGCCCCACCACCTCCGTCGTCTTCGACCCACCCACCCCTCGCTCCCTATACATCTCTTCTTCTTCTTTGATGCCCAAAAATTTTTTCACCCCAGCATCGAAAATTAACAATTAACCCCCAAAAAGAAATGAAAATTACAAAAATTAAAAAAACCCTAGGGCTGAGGGTCTAGGGGTTTTCAGTTTCGATTGCTAACTCATGCCGCTCTGGAATTCGTTCGTTCGGGTTCGGGTTTTCGGGTCACCAACTCAGCTTCGAGAGAAGAACAAGAGTGCGAAGCAGAGAGAGGGAAGAAAGGGAGGGATCGGGGTAGGCTTATAGTTATATACGGAGGGTGTTTTGGTAATTTCATCCTCGTTGCGATGGATAGATGGGCTAGCAAGCGAACGAACGACAACTCGTTTGGATTCATTGTTGATGAGGAGAGATCTAGAGTTTGGTCGTTTAGATTCTGCAGAGAGAGGGAGGATATGGACACGTGTCAGGTGATTGGGGAATGTTGGAGAGATCGTCAGGTGGGTCCTGGTGGGTGGGGGTAGCCAATGGGAGTGGAGCTGTCGCCAGAGATATTTTCGCTGTTTATGGTTTTAAATTAAATTTGATTGATTAAAATTTAAAACCAAATGAGATTGCTGGAAATTAACGGGAAATTAATGAGGAAAGAAAGAAATTGGGTTGACATTCCTCTTTCTTCTCCTGGAGGAGGGGGTGGGGCCCACGGTAGTAATTGAGGCATGATGATGGATTGTACTATTTGTCACGTGCAAAAGAAGTCGGCTGGCTTTTGATTTGCTAAATAACAAAAATGGTTATCAGCTCGTTTGTGAGTGATTCTAGATAGGTCAGAATCACTTCTAGTGTTTGTTTGACATTACTTATTTGGGGTGATAAGTGATTTTTTTAAAAATTTGAGAAGCCTAACCCGTTTGATAAACTATGAGAAAATCACTTATTGTTAAAAATTGATGTGAGAGAAAGCCATAAGGGAAAGCAGCTAATGAGGTGCTTTCATTTTCTGATTATGTAGGAATCAGTTTCGAAGAGACGCTTGGTTTAATGATTATGTGGTAATCATTCTTTGTTTATGCGAGATCAGTACCAACAACACTTTTAACAAAAAGTTTACCAACACCAAACTGCTTTCTCTCATAACTAATTTCTTTCACAACAAATCTGACAGCGATTATTTTCACAACACAGCAATGTCAAACTGGCCCTAGTGATTATGGGGAAAAGCACATTTCGTCTGCTTCTCCATAAAATCACTTAAAACCACCTAAGGGCTAGTTTGAGACTACTTCTCTAAGAAGCACTTCTACTTATACGCGCTTTTATTATAAAGACGTTGAAATTTTCATAAGAAATCGAAGTGCTTCTTGGAAAAGCACTTGGGAGTGTTTCCTGAAGAAGCACAGGTAGATGCTTCTCCATAAAGCACTTCTACGACCCAAAAGCGCTTATAAACGTTTCAGCCAAACGCTGTTAAAAGTTCTTTTGGTTGTCAAAAAGCGTTTTTAACTGTTCCATAAGCATTCCCAAAAGTGATTATATGGAGAAGTGATTCTCCATAAAAGTGAATTTTGGCCTATTTATAATCACTCACAAACAAGTAAATAGAGTGTGCTACTATTTCCATCTTCTGTCCTATTTCTTTACCCACTTTATCTTCAAAATTTTAAAGACAAACTTACTTCTTTATAGAATGACTTCTAAGGAGACCTAAAATTTACAGGAAAAAAAACCCAGAGTCGATTAAAGAAAAATTCAACACTTCTGCATCCTTTCTTCTTCTTTCTTTTCTCTCACCTCAAAATTTCTTTTCACATATCAAAATCTCTTTTTGCTGATTCTCCAAAATCCAGGTCTGGAACTACGTATGGTACCACTTCAAAAGGGTAGCAAAGCCTATATCAAAACCATTTCCTTCTCATCCCGAGAAGTCACAAACTTTATGTCTATGTCTCGAGTATGGAGTCTAAACCCGAATATGATGAGAACTAAAAACAAAAAGGACATTGCTCAAAGATATTAATCAAGCGAAAGTTGTGGCCATCAATTAGCTTTGCAATGATTATAAAAAAAAAAAAAAACAATCGATCGAGAAAGAGTGATGCTTGCAAAGATATTAAAAAGAGGAAAAACAGAAGGGATAGGAGTTTCATCGTGAGTAGGAGGAGAGAGAGTTCTGGATAAATGTTTGAATTAATAATTAAAGGGTATTTTAGGAATAATGATGAGTGAAAAGATAGGATTGTATTTACATGGTGAGTAAGCAAATAAGGTGAGTGAAGAAATAGAATATGGGATGGAAATAGCAGCAATCATTTTATATATGCATAAAAAGTGAAACATTCAATAACCTTCAAAATGCTATTGATGAAGTAAAATATTGAAATACAAAGATTTGACTGAAAGACGGTAAATGAGTAAAACAATACTCAATAAAAAAAAACTCTCGACAAAAAAAACTCAATTAAAAAAAAGAGCAGTTAAAAAATTAAATTAAAAATTAAAAAATAAAGAAGAAAATGTGTAGAAGAAGAGCAGTTAAAAATATTATATAGAACCAAGGTGGTTGGTGTGAGTGGTTCGGCACTCTCATTCCTTAAGAGAGGTCAGGGGTTCGATCCCTGCTCTCGTACGGAGTCACCACTTTGGCCAACACTTTACCCCTTACGGGCCGACCCGGTTGTGGTTAAGGCTTAAAGGTGCAACCCATAGTTGGGGCCCATCCAGGACCACCTCATGGTTTAGACAAAAAAAAAAAATATTATATAGACAACACTCAATTTAAAAAATATATATATGTACAATTACCAAGTTGAATGAACCCGAGGGAGATCAAAATCTTACCAATTAAACTAATTGAAGTATGTAATTTTTTTTTTGGTTGGGATCGACATATGTAACTTGAAAATTTTATTTATGTATATTATTGTGCTTTACTCTTTTTATGTTTTGTCACTTGTTAGAGCAAGAACAACATGGTGGACAGCATCAGTGAGATGCCCCGTTAAATTCTTGATAGTATTTTGTCTCTCTTGCCGCTAAAGGAAGTAGTAGCTACTAGTGTTCTTTCAAAATACTGTCAGTATTTGTGGGCGTCTACAAAGACACTTGATTTTGATGCTGGTAAAACTTTGTTCGGCTTCATAGACCTCAGTCGAACATTACAAGATGAGAAAAGCCTTGGTTACGTCAATTGGGTCAATCATGTGGTGGAACAACATACTAGCCTTAACATCGAACTATTTAGGGTTTGCTTCGATCTAGATCGCCGCTTTACAAGTTCCATCGATAACTGGATTCAATTTGCATTGAAAAAGAGGAGTTCAAGTGCTTGTGTTGGATTTTGTTATGGTACATGGTGATGTGAGCAGAGATTTTTATACATTTCCCCGCAAACTATTAGGTCTCGAAGAAGAGTTTGCTTCATTGCACTACAATGGACTTAAGTCCCTCAAAGTTCTTTATTTCCAAAATGTTGACGTGACTGGAGAAATTCTTGAGTACTTCTTGTTACATTGTCCAGTTCTTGAACGATTATCAGTGTGTATGGTCAGAAGCGTTGAGATTCGTGACAAACCTTGTTTCATTTATTCAATCTGGCTCTACAATAAACTTGCTTATCAGTAATGTACCCTTTCTGGTTGAGGTATCCAATGATGGTTGGAGTGCCACCACACCACAGGGACTTCATTGCTAATATCCCTTTTACTAGTTTCACTCAATTAAGTTTGTCACTCCCACTAGTAATGGACATGAGAATACAAATTCTATATGATCGATCACATAATATATTAGCAACCAATCCAGAAGATTCTCAGTTTTGATTGGATTCCAGCCCATGAGGTTCCATAATAATCCATTCAGAATGATTTGAAACATGTTCTGGGTAGAAACAAAATAATAACAAAAGAGAAGTATTTATTCCAATTCCTAGCTATAATTTCAAATTAATCTCTTTTTTCGGATGGAACCCATGATATTCTGAGTCCCACTTCAGGATAGAGGTCAACAAAAACTTGTGAAAATATATTTGAGCTCTGTAGTATCTTACATGTGCATAATCTTAATCAGTAAAAAAGATTAACTTTTCAAGTATTCTTAAGATGTTTCTGTTGAAAAAACCAGCAAACAACTAAAACAAGGTGCTGGTTACACATAATGTACATAGAAAGTAGGTATATGCTAGACCACTAGGTTATTTAAAAAGAAAAAAAAACTCTCAAGAACTAGGATTATATGCACTCTAAGTTCTACTTAATCCTCAGCAAAGTACTTCTCCTCAGCGTCATGGTTGGCTTCCCTCTGCCAGTGATCATCCAAGGTCTCGTCATTGTCGATTTTTGAGTAATCTAGATACTCATTATCTTCTCCCAACAAAAACTTCTGCTGCATGATGTGGGTGAACTGATCCATCTGATCTTGCAACTCTGCTGCAGATACAGTTGCTTGCTCACTGCGCTCTTCTGTGATGGTTTGAGCACCATTGGGCGCATCCAGACTATCCCCAGTTTGAGCACCATTGGGTGCATCTGGATGATCCATGAGCACCTATAAGAGACAAGGCAAACTAAAAACGTCAGAACAACCTGCAAGCTATGTTGTAGCAACTAACAAGAGCCAAGTAGATATCTAAATCATTAGAAGCATTTAAATCATACAAGAACCAAAGAACAAAACATCATAAAAAAGCATTTTCACCAAATTGGTTGAGATTACTATAACTTTAAAGTTTCATCAGTATAGCACATAGTATTAGAATAAAAACAATGATGCTCACTGGATAGACCACTGACATAAAAAATAAAACCAAAAGTAACTAGTAGCACCACTACCTTACCCTTGTCCATTTTTCAATAATTATTTAGAATCCAACTCGAATTCTAGAGATAAGGCAATCAAGGTGTTCTTCCATAAGGCATCAGATATTTTGTCACTACAGTGATACTTAACAGAAGAAAACCATAGTAAGAGAGAGGGATCTGAAATCTTATGTAATAGCCATTGATTCTCATCATAACCCACTTCTTTTAAAAAGTATATATTATGCACTAGTTTTTGGTCATTACATATCTCACCAGACAAAACTCCAAAATTCAACAAAGAGAACACAGACAATCACTATCACCATATTGTTTTCATGTTTTATCATGGAATGTGGCAGTCAGCACAAATATTGAAATATACATAGATAGAATGTGGCAGTCAGCAAACAATACTTCTTTAATTTCGCAAGAACAACTTTTAATTGTTTAATAAGTTACCTCTGCAGATTGTGCACCCCTGTTAGCCTTCTTAACTTCTTCTTCCTCTTCCT